TTAAATGTACTTTCCAATAGCTATTATAAAACCTTTATATTTCAATTGATTTGATGACTAAATTAAATTAACAAATTGTGTTCACCTATATTTCTCATTGTAACTTAATTCTGAGTTGTAGTGTATATTGCACTCACTATTGCAATCACATGAATGGCATGTGATTTTCCATCACATGAATTTATTCACAATATTTATGGGCAATAGTATTGAAAAACAGGTTTTATTGCTGAATATAAGATGAATTAACTGTATACATATAAATTCTACATACAGTTAATAATTATCAATTAGTATAAAACATAGTATTTAATTAATAGATTAGAAAAATTATAATTATATAACACTTTTTTGTTTATAAATTTATTTAAAAGTGGTTGAGATTAACCTAAAGTTTAAAAAAAAAATTTAAAAAGATGATTTTAAAATGATTTACGTCATTGTATTTTAATTGTATCAATATCAGTGAAACAGAGATAACATTAAATTGTAATATTAATAAACATGGTGCTTAATTAGTTTTCTGCTAAATACTCAATAGAAAACTAATAAATAATGATATAATAAATTATGTTTGTTTTAATGAAATTTTATAACTGCACGGATAATAAGTATCCGAAACATTTGGATCGACTTCAATGCCGTTATGGCTGTCGAGAACTAACTCATAATCTTGTGTGGACTGAAGGAATCGGACCAAAACCAGGAACAGGTCAGCGATGGCTAACTTCTCTCCCGGACAGACACGACGGCCCACACCGAAGGGTATGAACGCTTTGGGACGGGTTGTTATGAACTGTCCCTCATTATTAATAAACCTCTCGGGTTTGAATTTATTGTCATTTTGCCAATCCTTGTCATTACGGCATATGATTCCGTGGTATACAATAACTGACATATTTTTAGGTATTGTATATTTATCTAAAACAAAAATAAAAATCCCTGATTTAGTTAACTTTCCAAATATTTTTATAATGTATTAAAATTTAATACCAAGTATTGTATTAACAATGGCTTTATGTGGAAGTCCAGTGGGCGCAACATTTCTGAATCTCAGTGTCTCAGCGATGAAAGCCATGACATAATGGCATCGATTCCTGTCCTCATGTGTTGGCATTCGGTCTCCGATTTGGGACTCAATCTCTTGTCTCAACTTTTTCTGCATTTCCGGATAATAGCAAATAAATAGCAAAAGCCATTGAAATGTTCCCTGAGATGTATCGGTTCCGGCGAAGAATAGGTCCATAACAGTCATCGCAAGGTTGGCGTCCGTGAGATAAGGGGCCGACTCTTTGCCGTCTCTGAGGGCGTCATTCTTAGCACTGATGAGTGCATCGCAAAAGTCTCTCTCAATTGACTCGTTATAGTCGTCGTAATGTTTTGTAAATTTATTTTTAATTAAAGCAATAATTTTTTCTACTAATTCTTTATTTTTCTGANTGATGAGTGCATCGCAAAAGTCTCTCTCAATTGACTCGTTATAGTCGTCGTAATGTTTTATAAACTTATCCTTAATTAAAGCAATGATTTCATTGACGAGTCTATTATTTTTTTGAACCATTTTTCGGTCTAAAAATCTAATTATTGACGAGAATTCCCATAAGAAGGCTCGAGCGCCGAGTTCTTGTCCGAAGTCTTTTAACACATATTTAATAAATTTAAATTCTTTGTCTTCAAAATTATAACTAAATATTTAAAAACATTGATTAAACTAATAGTCAATACATATTTAATATAACAAACCTCTGTCCAAAAGCACTGGTGGCCAATATGTTTAGAAATAACAAATAGATATAATCTTTCGGATTGAAAGCATTACCGACTCCTTCCCTCTTTAACATTGCTTTAACCATACGATCGACTGAATCGGTGGCCACAGAGACTAGTCTTTCATTTATTGAATATTTCCTGTTTAATAAATTAATGTAAAAATATAATTACTAATAACCTTCATCATACAATCGCTACATACTGTACGGCCGAATGTGCCACTCGTCTCAACGCCTCCCATCTGTGCCCGTAATCGGCAAATACCACGTCTGAGTGCTTATCATTAGACAATAGATTCGCTGTTTAACATAAATATTATTTTACTAAATTATTTATACATAAAAATAAGTTTAAACCCCATTTACCAATGTATGACATGTCTCTGCCGGCGATGTCATTCTTCTTAAAGGCCTCTCTCGCCATCTCTACGTCCGTCACAACAACTTGTGGTCTATTGAAGAACCAAAAGGTGAATACCGGGCCGTATTGTTTGGCCAATTCTCTGAACACTACATCCCAATGATCTTTCCGTTTGAATACTGTTTATAAGTTTAAAGTTTTAATTTAATTATTTTTTATTTAATATTTAAAACTCACGTAAAATATTGCCGATGAGTGGCAGCGGATGCGGTCCGGGAGGCAGTTTTGACCGTAAATGATAAAACCTTGCTAATTTATATGCAATGTAGCCTATTATTAGGGTTATTATAGTTGTACTGATATCGTCTATTAATAAGGAGATTAATTTAGTTAATAATGACATTACTATAAATTATTTAAAAAACAAATAAAAAATAAAGTGATTTAATTTATTGCTAGATAGTGTGTCTGGAAAAATATCTATACACAGGAATATGAAAATTTTCATTTTATATACAAAAATAATTATCTCCCAAGGTCAAATAAATAATTTGTAATTCACACACTTTTGATTACTTTATAAATAATATTAAATACTTTTAATTTGTAGATCATATTTTCAATTGCTAAATGCAATAAAAAATATTAACATTTATTTAAGTTTATTTTTGATATAAAAAGATTAATTGTATACTTCTCAAATAGGACAATAACAGTATCAGACTTTCAGCCATAGTTAGAATTCACACAAAAAACGTACAGATTATATACATATTGATTGTGTAAATAACCTTTGGTCTGTACTGTGGTCAATTTGGCCGATAAATGTTAGAAATTTGGACCATCAAGAAAATGGCTAAATTTTTATAAATAATATTCTATTTACTATGAATAACAACAGGTTTGAATAACAATTGATTTAATAAATATGTTTTTAATGAAATACAAAATACAGTCATTCAAAAGTTAAACTAAACGCGGTTTTTAGCGATTTGCTCTTGAACCTCTAATCCGATTTTAAATCCGTTTTTACCAGATTGTACCTGGATAAAAATCTGATCGATTAGTATATAATATGTTATTATAAGTAATTGTTTTAATATTAAAATATAGAATTAAATTTATTATTTTTTATATTAATGTATATCTCTTGAACCAATGGTTCAATCGAAGTGATCTTTTCAGCGATCTATTACATGATATCCCTTAAAATTAAATATAAAACAAAGTAATTTCTCAAATTTAATTAATTTTGATTTTTAAAATTTAACGTTACTGTCAATGGGCAATTTTGTGTATTTTGACCTAAAATAGCTAAGCAACCATGATGATTTTGTATATAATGTCAATGGCAACTTTTCTTATGGGATATCATGTAATAAATCTCTAAAGAGATCACTTTGATTGAATCATTGGTTTACGAGATATACACTAATATAAAAAATAATAAATTATATTCAATATTTTAATATCAAAAAATACTTATAATAACATATTATATACCAATATGCATTAGTAGTGAATTACCAAAAATATCTAGTTTTAAAATATATTAGTTTTGATTCATAAAACAATATATAAATATTTATAATTACAAATGTAATTAAATTACACAATTGATGTATTGAATGCTTTTAGACTTTCAGTTTAACTTTTGAATGACTGTATTTTGTATTTCATTAAAAACATATTTATTAAATCAATTGTTATTCAAACCTGTTGTTATTCATAGTAGGTAGAATATTATTTATAAAAATTTATCCATTT